TGCTGTTTTTATATAAGTGCAAACCAAACCAGCGACGCACCAGGTTCGACGGTGTGATAATGCGTTTTCGTAAGATTTCATGCTGTAGAGATCGCCTATACTACTGGAATATGCTGCGATATTGCAGTTTGAAAATTTCATGAGCCTGTGCGTAAGGCTCATGCCTAAGCAAAAACTCATTTTACGCCTTGTAACTCGCGCATGAACAGAAAACATATTTAGAAAAATATTGCTTCCTGCTCACTCTGGTTATCGGATTAATTGAATGTAAACGGTATCCCGAACTAAACATCCACTTTCGCACCCACAAGACCTAGGCATGCTTTAAAATTGAATATGAAATACTTCTGTCGTACATGGGCATAGAATGTCCTCGTAAAATTTCAAAAGTGTCAAAATGCGCCATTAAAACGTGAGCTGAACTTTTCTTATTTTGCGCCTACGTGCCCGGCAACAAATATCTTCATAAAGTGAGAGCGCTCCAATCAGCTTAGGTCCCGGATTGGTATTTTACTCAACGATGACGAAACCTCAACTTTAATGTATCCTTCCGCGTAACGCATATGTGTGCTAAAACTGAATTTAAAATCTTTAGCCCAAAAAAAGATACACTATACACCTATGGAATTTAACCTCCTATCTTGTCTGGCTGACAAAATCGTTTTCCTCTAATAAATTTACATGCTTTTTTTTAGACGTCCGTACATGAAACTAAGCATACATAAATGATAATGTTAAAACGGGAGAATCATGTAGGAAGCGGGAACATGCTCCAGAACTTTCGGTTTACTAGCTTCCTTGGCTACTGAGTTGAAATTGGGGACAAAATATGGACACACACACACAACTCATTGCGAATATGCGTTTCTGCATATGTGTAAATTGCAAAAACGCATATTGGGAAGAGGCTGTGTGTGTGTGTCTGTGTGTTCGCATTTTTTGTCACCCACTTTCAACTCGAGGACCAGAAAAGCTAGAAGGCTGAAACTTTGAGGATATGGGCCTATATCATGCGCGACCCTCTCGTTTTAATTTCATCCGCCACGGACACCTGGGTGCCGCGTACGGACGCTTTAAAAAATATGCAAATTTCTTGGCGGAAAAGCGATCTCGGGAACCACACGAGCTAAGGAGTTGAAACTTGTAGGAATATTCCCTGTGCACGTACTAGCAAAGATTTCAAACTCCGCCTCCAGGTATGCGTGGTACTCACGTAAGGGCGTATGAAAGTTTTAGGGGGAAAATTACTAACTCGTGTACGAGGAAATCTAGAAAGATGAAATTTTGGGGGAATGTCCACTATCCAAGTATGGCTCAAATGTTTCAAATTCAGCCTCAAACCATGCGTGGTACCCACGTAAGGGCGTATGAAAGTTTCTGCAAGAAAATTCGGCAACCAGAAGAGTTGGAAGGCTAAAATTTTAAGGGGATACTCCCTGTACAAGTGCAGTTTAAAAATTTCAAATTCAGCTTTCCAGACACGTGGAGTACCCACGCATGGGTATGTAAA